AGAATGCGTGGCGCATTCTATAGAGATTGTTCGACGCCGAACGTTTTATACTTTGTGCTTTCAGCATGGGTGGAGTTCAACTTGCGAAGTCTTCTCGCCTCGGTAGCGCGATGACATCGTACCTAGCCCTCTTAACTTGCATCACCAGCCGCTCATTTGAAAATTACTTGAAGGTAAGTTACTTAGTTAGTTAATTAAAAGAAGTGCTGTTTGCATCGACTTCTGATGTGGGGTGGTCCATTCATCTACCATATGCGACTAATCAGCTGTTCTTCCACAGTGGAAAGCACATAAAAATTTTTTTGAGAAGTGTTGATCATGTGGTTGCCATTTAGATTTTTTTTTCTTTCTGATTTTGTTATTGAAGCATTTGGCCTAGTAAACTGCATATTGGTATGCCCTTCCAGACTCCGAAGAAGGCGATACTGTAAGCGTCAGCTTTAACGGAATAAGTAATAAAGTAACAGCTCGTGTTTGCTCAACGAAAATGTCGAAAAGTGCTTGATGAATGCCGAGGTTGATGGAAAGTTCGTAGTGGGAATTACTAGAAATATTTACTGATATTATGTTGCTCGGAAACTGCAATTTTTTCTACATATTTTACTCATTTCCTTGGCTTTTCTGCTCTGAGCGCAGGCAACTGATCTATGTAGGATGATCCACCGATTGAGAACAAAAAATGAGAGAAAGAATCTTTTACTAAAATAACTGAAAGGAGAGCGAATGGGCTATAAATTCACTTCGCTCTTTCCGTCCCACGTATGAATGGTAGTCAACTCACGTTGGAGATGTTAGCAGCAAAGTGCAGAAGCTGGGTAGTCACCGCGTACAAGTTGGTGTATATGGTCATTTCTAAAAAACTATTTTAACACGTAGTCGCTTCCGGTTCGACCGCTTTTTGAGCTGTTGGAGTGCCTTTATTCAAAGTACAAATGAACGATCTTTATCTGATGCCGGTCAGAATTGTAAGAAACGTGGAATAGGGAGCCATTAGTTGTACTCGCATATTATCCTGTTCGAAGACAACCCTAGAGTAATCAATCTTGCTCTCTTTCCATATTGCCTAGACTGGTTTCCAAAGACCGCTTCTGAGAAGGTTAAAATGAAACGAAGGAAAGAGCACTGAACTGACCGATTCAAGATTGCTCCTCATAAATTGCCCCCTAACGGCCGGTTTCGTTGTGGAAGTAGAATCAGATAAGTACAGCATAGAGCTTACGATTTTATTTAACCATTAAAAAATGGTGAGCTACTTCGAACGTGTTTGTTTAAGAGTCTTAGCAAAGCAAAAAAATTTTACCTTTCACTGGTGTGCAAGCGATAAGTTCAACTAGACGTTGACCTCCGTTTTTGAATAACCGCCTAGTATTGGCGGTATTTGGTCGACAATTGTCCACCGTAGCTGAGTCTTTCATATGGAATCAGCTCTTTCAAAGCACTATTGCTCTTAAACATTGAGATTTTCGAGGACCATAACGTTTCTAAACCAGCATCATGCGTGGAAATTTCTTCATCCGTGATTATTGTTGGTTTAGTTTTCCAAAATATGTTTTGACATCATCAGGATTGCTGCCTCTTCACATGGGGCCACTACTCTTTCTTGACGTTCTGTTTTGTATAAGAAGGAGTTCGTCTTTCTACGGGGTAACCCAAATCATAGGCGAGTAAGACACTTTCATACGAAAACAAATCTGCAACTCTCGTCCGCTTCAAAAAAAAGGCAGCTCCACAAGATTATACTCTGAGCAAAAATTGTTAGATAAAAAAGGGTGTACCGCTGAAATTGTGGCCTCTTTCGTGTCCTTGAGCAAATAAAGGTTACTCGGTAGATGTAACCTACTACAGAAACGAATGAAGTTTTTGTTGATGTTTGGAGCAGCTAGTCCATGACTGTCGTTCTCAAAGGTAATGTAGTATAATATAAGCACTCGATAATAAAATGGCATCCTAGCGTTATCGTTATCTTTGTTGAAAAAGTCTATTACCACATTCATTTCTTTTTCCATTCTTCTTTGATGCCTGTCGTAATAACCACTTTTATTACCCATACTACTGTTAAGCAAACACGAGGTGTTACTTTATTCTTCATTGAACGTAATGCTGAGGTTTCGGCGGATTTCGTAACCGATACAGCCTGGAAAAATCACGTTAACTTAAATCTACCCACAGAAACTCCTCCATAACCAAATAGAGAAACACTAGACCAATATTTCCATCGGATTGAACACACAATAATGACTTCTTCGCAAACTTACCGCATTCTGTGAGTCTTCCACTGAGTATTTCACATCGAGACTAACCGCACAGAGTTCTAAGGAAACGTTATGTGCCTCTCACACTAAAGTATCAGTCTTAATTACTGTATAAGACCACAAGTGATTAAGAGGCATTCCTCGCTGCGGTTCATTTTCAGATTCTTGGAATACATGGAATTTATTCAGAGTGCTTCAAAAGTTTTGCGCACTGAAGTTTTCACTTCTTGTGCGAGTATGGTAGCGTTTGCTTTGAAATTTTCTCGTAATATCTTTGTGTCCTATATTTGACTAGTGGAGTATTTGGTTGAACTTTATGTTTACCGACTACGTGTTTCTTTATACGGTCGCAGACCAATCTACCCGTTTCGCCAATGTATTCGTCCCCACACGCTTTACAAGAGATCAGATAAACTGCGCCTGAATTCATGCAATTACCGTCTCTAACGTTGAGGCATATTATGTAAATTTGCTATGTACATCGATGGACATGCCGGTGGTTGCAAACTAGTTGGCGTCCTAGAGAGGTCAGTGGTATTTCAATCTCTGTTACCGAATTCTCTAAACCGACTCCTCTCAAGCAGCGTTTCATGGTTACAAAATGTTTCTCTAGAAATAAAGAGAAGGATAAGCGAAATCTTGTTTTTTCTAGAATTATCGTTTGTGAGTCGGCGATTTTCTCCACACCTATCCCGAGCAGCTACAGTTGTGACCATTGGACTAAACACACATAGGACACAGAGGCATAACAGGGGGGATTTTGAGGTGAAATTACCATCCTTGTACAGGAATCGAAAACATCGGCGCACAAAATTTTCGAAGGATTCTGGGTAAATACCACGAGCTCGGGAAGGAACAGCAGGAAAGAATGCTCCGTCATCCTGTCTATTCTGACACAATATTTAAGTCTGATATTTTAAGACAAGGTGTCCGGCGTTTCCATCAGGAAACCTAGCTAAGAGTAAACCAATACCAGGATCCACCACCATCTTGCTATAAAAGTTGCATGGTGGTAAATCTTTCTCTGATCCACAAGGGTGACGACCTAGGGCAGACTTTGGCCAGGCTGTCCTCGGGATTCCAGGGAACCACAACGGCTCAACCAACAAATCTCCGAAAAGTGGTGGTTATGCTGAGGCCCGCACAACAAGTGATGACGGGCCGTCCAAGTACCAAGTAAGTATTTTAAGGTAACAGAGGCACATTACGTATCCATGTGAGTTCTGTGAGGCTGGTCTGCATGTTAAATATGCAGCAGAAGACTCATAAAGGTGTTGAGTGCGACAAGAAGCCATTTTGCATCTTGCGGGATTGAAATCTTGATTCAGCGTTTTCTACACTTCGTGATGAAGGTGTTGGGCTGTGTAGGCTGCAGTTAACGTGACCTTTTCGAGCTCCTAAGGTGGCGAAATCCGCCGAAATAGCAACAAAGACAACAACAAACAAACTTTCCTGTCAACAAAAAATCAAGTAACACTTCGCATTTGCTCAACAAATTTGTAGTTAATTATTTGGTCAGTGCCAATGTTAATAGAACGTAGATCTTAGGAATTATTGCTATCGTTCATTTACCCTCAGTATTTTTTCCAGGTACCATGGAGAAGTCAAGCGTTGTGAGGTTTGCCATACTAGGGGTTGCCTTGACAGCAATCACTTCCATCTATGCTAACCAGAATGCTTTCAACTTCACCGTAATCTTCATGGACGACGTTATTCGCTCACAAAGCACTAATGAAACAGAATAAGGAAGTTGTTAAGTATGAACGTCTATTCAGCAACTTTATAACATCTATGTCAATGCTTATATCTCGTCGATACCTACTTGAGCACTCATTCCTCCCGCCCATTCGATCAATTGGTTATCTTTTAGAAAAAACATCGAAGTATCCATTTTTCTTTCTTTTTTTATCAATTACACTTATGACTAAGAAAAGGAATTGAAATGGAAGCATTTGGTAAAGTTTCCAGGGCTCCTGGGACAGTAAAAAATTTTCGGCACCTATTATGAACTTCAGTGCTATCAATATCACTCCAAGCACAATGTACAAAATGTAGTCACTTCTTATTTGCTGCGTATTCTTTTTTCGTGGAAGGTCATGGTGTCAAATATTACTACAATGCTGCTGAGATATGTGAAAAACCGGGCCGCAGTTATCTACGAGGGGAATCGAACTCGCTATTACTCTTTCCGGGACTAACGCGTTCACCGCAACACCATGCGGTTTCTTCGTATCACTCTTTCTCTCAGCCGTGTTTTTAACTTATGATGCTACCAGCGATCACCGCCGGAAAGAGTAATAACGAGTTAGATCTCCACCGCAGCGACCTGCGGTTCGAAGTTTTGCAAGCATCGCGTTCAAACATTTCGGCTTTAGAAAATGTATATTAGGACACATCTTGCAAGTGTCTTAGAAAGCCTTCCAGTAAGCAACAATGACACACCGAAAATTTAGTTGGTCCTCTAGAACAACTCTGCAGGAAACATGTGCCATTGTTTTGCACGCTATGCAGTGGAAATAGGTCCAAAGCCAGGGGCTGCAGAGAAATTCTGGACGGTTTTATCTTTTGGGTGTCAGCCACAACTGAGACATTCTCCCAGCGACTTTGTTGTGTAGAGATTACGGTATGGAAAAGTAGTCGACTGAAATTTCAAACAGAATGGTCAGCTGAAGGGATTCTGCAATCCAACCTATTCTTCTGAAAGATTTTCAATTTTCCAGCCAATTATGAAGATCTAAAAAATTCGAATTGAAAAAGAGAAGAATAGATGGAGGCGGAAAAGGTTGCTGTGAAAATTGTTAAGAGCAGGGTTCAAACTTCTAGTGATACCACCACTGAAACCAATGGAATTTGTGAACAGTTTCCATTTCAGATCATTGGTTGAATGATCCCAAAAAGAAGAACTTGTTGTTTTCTGTTGTTGCAATAGGACAACTGTTGGGAACTCTTCCTATTATTCTCCTTATGCGAAAAATTGGATTTAGGTAGAGTTACACACACACGTAGGCAATTCACACGTCCGTTCGAAGTTGTGAAGCTGATTTTCGTTGCAGGTACATCTTCCCACTTTACGGAATCTTAACAGCCATTGCGACACTAGCAACTCCATTAGCTGTCGAGCTAGGCCATCTTTTCGTTGCAGTGATGAGGATCGTATAGGTGCAAAATTCTTGTACGGTAAAAAAGTAGAAGCCTTTCGCACGTTAATTAATGAAAAAAGGTGTTTCTGGAAAAGTGCTGAGATAAATGTTGAAAAAAAGTGATAGAATTGAAAAAGAGAAGAATAGATGGGGGCGGAAAATAGGAGAGAGAGAGAGCAGGTATAGCACTACCATAAGATTCCGCTCCGAAATGATCTTTCGTTGATTTCCGGTCTCGTTGTGAAAGCGTCTAAATAATGAAACCCTGATAATTTCCATTATGTAATATGTATTTGGTTAACTTTTATATGGAAAGCAGGTTTGATTTCTTACGTCCGAAGAGACGACATTTGTGTCATAATTTATAAAAGCTGCAAAGTATCTATTAATGAACCGGAATTCCAATTCTCCATGACGAGTTACAGTGTCTCTTGCTTGGAATTGTTCAAATTGAATAACAGGAACATGAACGCAAAGGCATTAACACTCTTTCGCTGTGCTGAATTCTCTAAATGTAGGAAAAGTTGCTCAGCTCGACTGCTGCAGATAAATAGCCTGAAACGTTCAACAGAAACACTGTCTGATGAGGAATTGGATGGATTGATAGGTCCTCAATTAGCCTTTTTAAACTCGACTGTTAAAAAACACAGAAGTTTGAAAAACATCAGACTATCCGTTAGTCATAAGTGTGGAACGATTGTAGTAATTCTTTATCAGTTAGATGTTGGGATAGCGTAAAAGCATCTTGAAGTTGCTTCACTTTATGGCCTCTCATCTGAGAAGGAGTTCAAAAGTCAACAGCGAAAATTGAACCACGATTGGATCAAAATGGCTGCTGGTTTAAAGCCAATAGTTATCTCTCAACTCAGACCTATTATTAGCAGTGTAGATGGAACCACAGACAGAATAACGTGGTTTTAACCCTATTTCTTACCCAGTTTTTGAAACATTCCAGCCCATCCTACGAATACCTAGATGTTTCTGGATCGTCTACGCACTGCGCAGCACAGCAGCGGGTACCTGATGTAGTCCTTCGACGCTACCATCCTTTGGACGAACGTGTCGAATGACTCCGCAGTGCAAGCCATCCTCGAGCTCCTTATACAACACGAAGGAGCAATAAACATGTGTGGCTTCACAATGCAACATTTGATGGCGCTTTTAAAAAAATGCCTGATCTGCTCAATCTTCAGATGGTCCCGAATGCACTGCGCTTAAATGAGAGGGTTACCAATGGAACTGCGACTGGCACCAAGCCTTGTCATTGGCTTTATGTCTGAGGTGAAAGGACCAGTAACCGACCTCCCGTCATAACTCTACTGTAGATATTAGATTGTTCAGAAACAAATGAGCGTTTTTAACTGTAGTATTTAAAATGTCATAACTTGCTCCAAAAAAACTTTATTACTCAAGATCAAAACCATTTGAATGCGCACAATTTTGCCAAAAAAACAAGTTCATTTACTTCAGCTGCATGAAATTTCGGAGTTCTGGAAGCGATGAGTTCTTTTAAGCGATTTTTGCGTTATGGTGGTTGGTGAGGCATTTCTCAAGCAGGAAGTTGTCAAGGTGCTTGAAGAAGTGATAGTCGGCAGGCGAGAGTCTGATGAATATGGTGGATGAAAGAAAGTTTCGTAGTCCAACTCGTTCAATGTCTGCAGCCCTGGCTCCGCGACGGGAGGCCGGGTGTTGTCGTGCATAAGGATTGATCCTTTTCTGTTGACTGATGCTGGTCGTTTTTGTTGGGGTTTCCTGTGCATGTCGATTTGTTGGCAATACTTCTCTGCCGTAGTCGTTTCGCCTGGATTCAAAAAGCTATGATAAAGCAGCCCGGTTGCAGACCACCAAACAGTCACCATAACCTTTTTGGTGCAATTTCGGTCTTGGTAAGTGCTGTGGAGGTTGATCGCCAGCCACTGAGCTGAACGTCGCCGCTAGCGGTACAGAATCCATTTCTTGTCGCACCTTACAACTCGATTAAGAAAAGGGTCGTTTTCGTTGCGTAGAATAGGAGCAGACTACACTGCAAAATGGCGATTTTTTTCTATCATCGTTTAATTTTTGTGGAACCCACTTTTCGAGTATTTTCTTTTTCCTATGCGATTCAAGTGAGTGGAAATTGTTCCTATGCTTAAGCCGAGCTGTTCTGCAAGCTCTCGAACAGTTACAACCACAGCGTTGCTGAGATATTTGCAAAACTCTGGACCGCAGGTGTCTATGGTGGGGAACGAAAAATGTATTTCGCTTAGTACCCTGCCGCGAAATTATAGTAGGCAAAAAATAAAAAGGTATAACATTGTGTTCTTGAACAGTTAGTTATTCGCGTGTTTGCTTCCACTAGTGCCTTCAATTTATCGTCTTCAATTTTACTGGGACGTCCGCGGTCTTCCTTAACTTCGAGGTTGAAATCACCAGACCGGAATTTTCGGAGCTATGTTCGCACTGTTGCTTCACCAACACTACCTCGCACAGTAATCGAAAACACTAGGGCGCAAAACTCTCAAAGCATTCTGGATACATCAAAGAATCAGAAAATGAACCGCAGAGAGGAATTTCTAACAGTCACGCATGTGACATATTCAGTGGAAGATTCATTGAAAGCGGTGAGTGTGCGAAAAAACTATTCTGCGTTCAATGTGGTTGAAATCTTGGTTTAGCAGTTTCTCTGTTTGGTTATGGAAGTGTTTGGCTAGGTAGATTGCAGTCAGCTTGACCTTCCCAGGATCTGAGGAATACGAAACCCACCGAAACATCAGGGTGTTTTTGAATGAAGAATAAAATAACACCTCGCGTTTGCTCAGCAAGAAAATACAGAAGTTGACCAATAAATATGTGCTCCATTAAAAGGATCCGACTTGACACGACGACAAAGACACCACAACGAGTATACGAGTATGCCACCTAGTAACGGTCCCTCAAATAGTTTCTATTTCTATGTCACCTTATATCTTCTACAAGCTGTCTACTTGTAATCGTCATACATTTATGCTTGCATATTCTGTACATCGTCTTTTAACGACCATTTTATGCTACAGCCTCGCAGGTGGCTGGAAAGGGATTCAGCAGCAGTCATTTGAATGCACTTTTCAGCATCCTCCGTCCCAAAAAAGTTTCCGAACAAACACCTGCACCCTTCCACATGTTGCCCTATCAGATTGTGCTAGTAGAAAAACTTTTAGAACTTCTCTCTAGGCGCTGCCTTTAGTTCCCTCTGACAAAGCTCCACCCACTACACAAGTAACACAGGCAGTCCATCGGCATTCGTCTTCAAGTGTTCGCAGCGTTCGTCCGGTCTTCACCCAGCTTTCAGCTTCTCAGTGCTCCAATTCTAGTGTCCTCCAAGCTTCCTTTAGCTGTATCACTTCTTCTCATTTCAATCTCGCTCGTATATATCCAGCTAACCACATATCGTCACATATTACCCATTATTACTGTACCGTTGTTATTGCTAAAAATTGTTATAACCCAAACTCGAGGTTGTCCACAGCAGTTACGGAAAAAAGTCTTCCGTGGCGAATTCGTACAAAGTCGAGCATTCCACGTACAGTTGACGGACAAAAGACAAATCCGACCAACTCCATAATTCACTGGCCGACTACCACAGGACCATCGACTCGGATCTTCGGCTTTAGTAAGGACGAAGATGTCGAAATGTTAGCCGAATAAATGTTTGGTAACGACCTCAAGGATCCATGCTGCGCACTAGTCGAAGGCGCCCATCCGGTGCACACACACGGGATTGATCCCTACGCCCGTGGCCCAACAAGAACTCCATCCCTCTGGGGTCGGCAAATTGGTACCAGACATGTCTAGGAGGATAGCACCACTTGTTTCTTGCATCGGTATGCCACTGCGTCATTGTAAAGGCCAGATATGCATTCAATCACCTCTAAACGATGCTTAATGAAGTCGAATGCATGACACATCTCTCAACGATTGATTAACGCAGGGGCTTCACCCTTTTTTAGCAGTCTTATGCTACCTTATGAATGAAAGAATACATGTGATATCAGTGTTTAACTTGGAATAAACACAAAATGGTTCTACGATTGAAATATGCTTAGATTTAGTGGAAAAACGCGACCTCAAACCCTTTTAGGGTTCTTCAACGGCGATCCTATTTGTGAGTTTCGATGCAATTGCATCACAGTGGTCGGCTCTTAAAGAGTCTACTACCTATATCGCCATTCTTTCCTGCAGTACTCAGGTTAGCTTTGTTCCTTTTCTTCGTTAATATGGAAGAGTGGAAGGTAAAGGGAACATCCTGTATGTTTTATAATTTGCGCAACCCAAGTGAGGTGCGATGGACGATTCACCTCCTATGCGTTGGGTTAATTGTTTACTCATAGAGTTCTTCCGCTCGAAATTTATAGCATCCTGCTCTACCATCCAGTTGACTACATTTTGACTGTGCTAAACTCGTCTGCTTATTACGTCCATACTCTTCTGCAGGTTGGGAAAAAATAGACAATGAACACTTCAAAATTGTTTGTAGTTCTCCTACAGTAGGTAGAGAAGTTTAACGTTGCAAAAATTGTCCATTCCTTGAAATTTTCACTATTTCTTAATCGAACAGAGTTTGATGGAGACTTACTTAAAGTGCAGTTTTCTAATTAATTCAGCTGGCAGCCGTCATTGCATTGCCACTGGCTGGTGTATTTTGTGAGTTACTCGGTTGGAGATCGTTGTATTGCTTGCTAGGAATATTTGGCTTTCTTTCGACAGTGGCGTTCTTCTTCCTGTATAGAGATGATCCGAAAAAACACCAGTGAAGTTGTCGTCCTGGTCCAGAGCGCTTTCTACACTCAGACAAGTCTTTGGTACGCGAATTTATAAGCCAACATGCTTGGAATTTACCGCGACATTTGAAACCGCGAAAAGCTTTTTGAGCATTAACATTCAGCGCTGTTGTTATTTTGATCGTTTATCACATGTGCGACTACATGGCTTAGCCTTTCAATTCCGAACAGTCATGTCTAAACTCATAGTGATCTTCGAGTGTTGAAACAAAATTTTCTTAAATCCATGCCCCGTTTTCCACAAGGTGCGAATTCACTCATTTTAGAAAGACAAAACCCTGGCCTTCTGAGGCGCTCCAGTAAATTTTCAAGTGACGCTCAATTTTTGTAGAGAACAACAAAGCGAATAAACAAGAGGAATTTCATCCGGCACGACACAGTTGCGTCTTTGTCGTGCTTGAGCCAAAAGCTCACTTGTGGGTCGTTTAGAAATTCGAAAGACTTATCGATTTTCATTCTGAAAAAATTGAACAAAAGTAGTATTTAAAAAAAGCTGTATGTGCCTTCAAAGCGATAAGGTTGAAAAAATTTCCCAAGGCGTGTGTCTCCAACTATTTCAGTAATCGCGGAATCGACGGCTGTCAGAAAACCCGTATGGTCTCTAATGTCTGGAAGAAATATTATTCCCCGAAAAAGCCGTGTGATTCAGGATTTATTGCGCCGACGGTATTGCATGCGAAAACTTTTTCAAAACGACGAATTCTGTTCACGTCGTTCAATTTCTTAAAGCAACTATGATGCCGTGAATCTTCACGGCGTAATAACGGGATCAGAATGAACTGACCCTCGTTGCACTACTAAGGCATGTACTTGGAAAACACCAGCGGCGACGTTTCCGAATTCATTCTTCTGTATTTTTGTTGAGCAAACGCGAGGTGTTATTATTCTTTGTTCACGATTAAGCTGACGTTTCGGCGGATTTCGCCTTCCTCAGAGCCTGGGAAGGTCAAGTTGAAAGCAATCTACTCGGCCAGACGCCTCCATCACCAAACAAAGAAACTCCAAACCAAATCATTCCTCTGTTTTTACTGCAGGAAACCACGTTGCATAATGCGGGATATTCAGTTAGAGTTCCATAGGAAAACATGTTTCGAAGTGGCTCGTAGGAGCCGTACTACTTCAAATTTATGATGATGATTTTTCTTCTATGATCTATGATTTATCGATGACTGACCACAAATAGAATTGTGATAAAAATTTTTAACCAAAAATGAACAAAAATAGGTGTTTATCCCTTCGTTAGTTGTTAAGGGTGGTGAGTGCGAAAGAGCTGAGGGTTATCAGGACTGGCAAAGAAGGTGTGCAAGTACGAGGGCCGGTGCCATACATGGCGATTTGTAAGGATCCACGTATACATGCGATATTGCTCTTGGCTATTGGTGGCTTAGCTGCGTTCACCATCTTTATATACTATGGACTGACTTTTTTGAATAAGATGAGAATGGGATTCTTCTGATTTATTTTACATAACATCAAATATAACTGCTAAAATTATGCTGATTTTGAAATTGGTTGTGATATTGTCGCATCCTGGAGCTGTCCTTCTCCTCATGCTTTCTCAGTGCAACTCGAGCACCGTAAGGTGGAATTGCCTGCGGTTCTTCACAAGCGGTGATGCTGTGGCTTGAGACGTGGGTTATGAAACAGAAAAGATTCATATAACGTTTCCGCTTTATCAACTCCACTTCATGAAGGATGTAGTAGAAGTGTCAAGTTTGTCCATCAGGCGGTCAACAGAACATTGCAGCTACGAAGATTTCGAGCGCGCTTTTTGGAATAGATCCTTTTCGAACTATTTCAGGTAATTCGTCTCGACGTGGGAGCTTCGCCTTCGTGCCGAGTCAAGTCTTCTTCAGTGAGCCATCTCCTCGAATGAGGCATCCTTATTCAGTGATGCCCTTTTATGCACGATGCTGATGGTCGATATAATGATAATGTCCGGTTATAACAACTTGTTTTTCTTCCGGACAAACATTATTGCGCACATCGTGCAGAAGTCGGTGTTGTTATCAGCTAGCACAACGCGTACAACGTTGCACAACGTAGCAACGCACAACGTATCAACCTCGTGTAAGCTCATCAAAGAAAGAATACATATTGATTAGTGATACCGAGGTTCAAGGAAAGTCGGTTTCGAAATATTACCACGCGTTGTGCTAGCTGATAACAACACCGACTTCTGCACAATGTGCGCAACGATGTATGTCCGGAAGAAAAACAAGTTGTTATCACCGGACATTATCATTATATCGACCATCAGCATCGTGTATAAAAGGGCATCACTGGGTAAGGATGACTCATTCGAGGAGATGGCTCAATGACGAAGACCTGACTCGACACGAAGGCGAAGCTGCCACGTCGAGACGAATAACAAGCGAGGACCATCGACTCGGATCATCGGCTCTGAGGAAGACGAAGACGTCGAAACGTTAGCCGAAAATAAACATCATTATCAACCTCGTTTGAGCTCATCAAAGAAAAAAATACATATTTCAGGTAACTTTCCTGCGCATACCGATGTAACTCCTCCTGCCAAGGTCTTTTACGGGTGAATTTTATTACCATCAGTAACTCTCACGTCCGACTTTCTATTAACCTCGGCATTGGTTGAATAATTCTTCCCACTTCTGTTCAGCAAACACGAGGTTTTATTTTATTTCTTTATTTACGTACAAGCTGACGTTTCGGCGGGTTTCGCCTTCCTCAGAACTTGGAAGGGTCAAGCTAACAGCAATCTATTTGGCCATACACTTCCATAACCAAACAAAGAAAACGCTAAACGAAGATTTCAATCACATTGAACACAGCTCTTCACGTCTTTCACTGAGTGTGTCGCGTGAAGACCAACCGCACAGAATTCACATGGAAGCGTGATGTGCCCCTCCCATCCAAATAGCAGGTTTATATACTGTCCAATATCACCCGTGATAATGAGGCATTCTTCCCAGCGGTTCATTTTCGGATTTCTGGAATTAATCCAGAACGCCTCGAGTGTTCTACGCGATTGTGTACTCGATTCCTGTGCGAGGATTTTGCCGTCTAAGTATTATTTTTGCGAACAGAAACGGATCTGACTGTTTCGCCAATGTGTTCGCCTCTGCGTGCCTTACAGGAGATCATATAAAGTATACCCGAGCTCATGCAATCACCGTCCGAAGTCGGACGAAACGTCAGCTTATACGTAAGTAAATTAAGAAATAAAATAAAGCCTCGTTTGCAGCGCTGAAGCGTTGGAATGTTGGCGCTGAGGAACCGCCAAGATTTTGTTGGGAGTGTTGCTGCTCTTGGATTTGCCTTTTCAGCGCTTGTGTTAGTTCAGATGCGATACTCAGGACTCTTTGTGATGTTGATAGAGAGAGAGCAGGAAGCTGATCAGCGACATAGAACCTCGCTGTTACGTTTCCGAGTTTAGAAATTGAACAGAGTACAGCTGCGGTTTTCACCTTAAACTTGGGTAATTAAAAATTATAAATAAAATTAATTTAATTACCCAAATTTGAGATGAATGCCGTAGCTGTACTCTGTTCAATTTCTAGACTCGAAAACGTTACAGCGAGGTACGCTGTCGTTGATCAGCTTACTGTTCGCTCTCTATCAACATCACAAAGAGTTCTGAGTATCGCACCTGATCTAACACAAGGGAAATCCAAGCAGAGCACCAACTCTTCCAAAAAAATCTTGGCAGTTTCTCAACGTCAACATTCCAAGGCTTCAAAATTGCAACCAAGGATGCAGAGGTTCGGCGCACCAAGCAGTTCGGTAAAGAAGGCATTCCTGTTGTGTTTAACGTGAATAAAACCTCGTATTTGCTGAACAGAAGTAGAAAGAATTACCACCAGTGTTAGGCGCGCTGCACTAAGACCAAACTTTAGCGTTCATCTCTTGCCGAACAACTCTTTGGTGGTAATGCATATGCGGTCCCAGCATTTTGTTTGACGAACTAAGGGAAGTTTGACCCAAGTTTTACTCTTTCTTTCAGTTTCACAACTCTTTCGACAATTAACTTGTAGTACTCGGTCGAGCCTTCTTTTGTTTGCTAGCCAAATAAGACAAGATTTTTTGAGAATATCCTTGACATGCACGAGTCGTTCCGTTTTTTTTTTCTTGAACAGAGGCAGAAGTTCTTTTCCAACTCATGGGTGAATAGAATTTTAGCGCGGGAAAAATGGTGATCACATCCTGTATAGAATCCAGGAACCAGTGAGGTGTTAGGAAGACACCAACTTCTGCCCATCACTCGTCAGCTTAAGGGCTCTGCCGTGTGGTTGAACACCCGCTGCACAACGCAGCCCAACACTCTGGAACAGCTCCCAACCGCGATGAGGCGGTAAACCGTTGGGAGGTTCGACTCTGGAAGAATTTGATTTTGGTTTGGTGATTTCGACTTACATTGCATTACGTATAAAGAGCATTATAGACATGGTGATATGTTGAGAAATAGTGTGCAGGCTGAATATACTTTGGACTTTGTGAATTCCACTAATGATTATGTTTCTACGAGGATTCCGCAGAACTAAGGACATTCTGCACCTCAGCGGTGCCATGGGCTGCTAAATGTGCCATGGCGGAAATGGGTGGATGGTCTTCACCTCACAATTCGTCATGTTTCGCCCATTCGTGAAATTAGATGTAACCGGAAGCTAGTTTTCACTAATCTGGGTTGTTCATCGTATTGATTTCACGACCTAGATGGATATCGAGCATTTGGAAAACTGGAGCATTCGGAGATATTCGTTCCGTTGAGCGCGTATGGGGCATGCAAAACCAATCCGTTCTTCATGACCATCGTTTTTGTGAGATTTAGTCGGAGACCAATCCTTACATGCTTTAAGTCGTCAAGCATACGTTTCGCTTGGCTAATGTTTGGTGCTATAAGGACGATGCCATCAGCAAAACGAAGATGATGTCACTGTCGACCATCGATTTTCACCCTCATATTATCCCATTCCAATGTTCGCATGACGTTCTGGAGGGTGGCGGTAAATAATTTTGGCGAGATAGCATCGCCTTGCCTAACTCCTGTTTTGACGTCAATGTTAGTATCGTTGTAGAATGGTGATAGTTTGGTTGTTACATTTTTCTACAGCTCACGAAGACTCTTTATGTACTAGGTAAGGACTCTTTGACTATCAAGGGCTTCCAGGACTTCTTCTATCTTAACCGAATTAAAGGCCTTCTCTAAATCGATGAAAGTGAGACAGAGCGGTCTTTTGTACTCTCGCGATATTTCAGTGAGCTTTGTTATCGAGTTGATGTGGTCCATCGTGCTAGATCCTTCTCGAAACCCTGCTTGCTCGTATGGCTGTCCTTCGTCCAGTCTTCTGTCAATCCTGTTTAGGATGGCTCGAGTGAAAGGTTTGAAGACAACAGACAGTAAGCAAATTGGATGATGGTTGCCGATATCGTGTACGTCACCCTTCTTGAACAAGAACACGGGCTTTCTGGTCTTCCATTGAGTAGGGACCCTGCATTCAGACAGGTAACACGTGAAGAGCCGAGCCAGTGTGTTTACGAGGACTGGCGGAAAGTCCTTCAGGTGTTCTGGTCCAATATTCTCCGAGCCTGGTGCTGTTCGATTTTTCACCTACGGACTGGCATGTCGGATTGCGGAAGAGAGATCCGGTGCTACAACATATTCATTCTCCTCTGTTTCATATGACGGAAGGTGAACGTGGCTGTTGAAGAGATTCGAGTAGTATTCGTGAATCATTTTCTACATTGCCTTCCTGGATGTTATAACTGTTCCGTCTGGGCGTCGGAGTGCAATCGTCTTGGTCTTAATTGGTGAAGCTTCGGTGGCCTTTGCGAATGCTTTTCCCAGCCTCTGCAGCTTCGACCGTTACTGCTACTCTTCTATCTTTAAGATCTTCTGTTATCGTTTGTCTGCATTGTTTTACAAGTTCGGAGTTTAGTACGCGGTTGCCTGCATCTCGAGTGTTTCTGGAGACCGACGTCTCTTGGTGACTTTCGAACTCTCAGCTTTTGTAGCGCTAGCGTGAAGATGTTAAACGAGCCGATCGTATTTTTCGCCGATGTTATCGACAACGGAATCTTTCCAACGGCCGACTAGTGAACTGAATAAGTCCAACTTTGGGGTGGTTTTGGGACTTTGGTTTTGGTATTTAGCGGCTTTTTCTCCTTTCGACGAGAAATAGTCTTGCATCAAGTAGGCGATGGTCTGATCCCGTGTAGAATTTTTTGACAACAGCGACAGCAATTAGGCAAAACCTTCAATTTTCCATGATGTGGTCTATTTCGTTATGGTACTCTCCATTGGGAGTCTCCCACGTCCTACGCTGAGAGTGGGGCTTCTAGAATTGCGAGTTACAATGGATTGTCTTGGTCGCCATGTTAAACTTAGACAGCTGCTCACCCAGTTCGTTCAATTCTAAACCGTGGGTCCCAATGTGACGTTCTTCTTGGTCCAATCTTGGTGTTAAAATCTCCAATGATGACCTTGAAAAATGAATGGTCTTCTTTGTAGAACTTCTCCAAGTCCATATCGAACGCTTCGACTTCTTCTTCCTCATATTTTGATGCAAGCGCGTAAAAGATGAAGACTGTCAAAGCCGGTATTGATCGCCATCTTTTTAATCGTAGACGCCTGATTCGGGTTGTTGTCCGAATGAATCGATGTTCATGGGCAAACTCGTGTTGACGAGAACGCCGACGCCTCCGACTTTTCTACTGTCGCATGTTTCGAGTAACAGTTCTTCTCCGGTGTCATAGACGGCGTTGAAAGTCTGCCTCATCTCTTTTCGGCCAGGCCGTTGGCGTCGCACTTTAACCTTCTTGCTTGCATGAGCAAGTCTTCTGTCGAGTACTTGCATGCAAGTATACGTGCATTGTAGGTACAGATCGTCACCATGGTTTTTTGTATTTCAGGCAGCTTCCACTGGGCCTGAGATTTCAGCAGCCTCTTCGTACTCGTCCTATTTAACGCTAAAGGATCAGTGGCTCTTACGTGGTCGGAGGAATGAGGCCCGCTTTTTTTTACTGTTTAGCAATTTTGATACCCACGTACAGCTTGCTGGGCTTTGAACGTGGGAGTAGGGTATACTCACGGGTAGCTTGACAAGCTCTCGCAGAGTGGACTTGGAGCTTATTTATTGGAGGCAACTCCTAATCGCCTCCCATATACTTCCCAGTTACTTGATTGCAGGCTTTTTGCCGAATTAACTCGTAGAATACAATCCGCATATGCAAGAACACGCCGACACATGCATGCGTGAATACGGCTAGCAAACACAGAAAGCATGTGCGAAATCAGCGCAGAAGAAACAGAGAGTGCATCCTCTGGATCCACCTGCATCTCGTGAAAGCAAGGTCGCTTTTGGTCCGCGATGAACCCCCTATCTGCCACCTGGGAACGCGCCACGTAACCTTGTGATTAACCGGCTCGACATCCCTTATATGAGGGAGATCCGTGGAGCTAACCATTATTTTAAAAAATTCGTAAAAAAGATCAAGAAGTGGAAAAATACGTTGCTGTGTGAAATTTTTTGCAAATTCTGCGCAATGGATTGTTTTCACTTGTCCCTAGGCAAGACTTCAAACTCGGGTTTGTAAACCCATGCATAAACAATGCTAGTACAACAAAAGTGACATAGTGAAACCTCTGTAAGGGATAAAGGAGCCACGGCAAAGAAGATAGAGGCAATATTCACGGAGAAAGTCCTCTAAACTATCTGATATTACAGTATGTAATAAAAGGTGGTTATGGAAAAAAGACGTAGGACAATTCGTGAAAATTTCACTATTGCAGTCGTTTTCACGGAATAGCGCTCTCACTTGCAGCGTATGATCCCTTGAATGTGTTGGTCTTGAATTAGACGCTGTTTTAGTCGCAGTTTTATATACAATTCAGGTTATGGGTATCCATGTCGCTAATACTGGAGTCTTGACTGCTCTGCCTCAGGCGCTCGGCATAGCACTGAAATTAATCTTAGGACCAGTTTTCGATATCTCAACATTTATATCCGAGCGGAGCCGACTGCTTATCCTCGCGTTCTTGACGCAAGGTGTCACAGTATTCTGTTTGTTCGTGATGTCTCAGGTGAGCAACTTATGAAATTCTCGAAACATCTTGTGCAAGTATCAAAAGCAGTGTCAAATGACATAAGAAAAAACTGCCTATCGCAATTTATTTCTACTGTTTTACTAAGCAGCTCTTGCTATTTACTTTTCAGTAATGAACAGCCAAACTGATGCGATCAATCTTTTCAGAACCCGGGTGAGGTGCTGACACAAGTCGCATACTGTGCCCTATGCGCCTTTATTGGCTCGAACGCCGTCGGTGGGTTGAAATGTGCATAAATGGTATATGGGCTTATATTTTTGCATAGCTTCTAGTTTTTTAAATGAAGAAAGCACTGGGAGTTGCAAATTTCTGATAACTAAATAAATTTAATGCAAAGATTTTTAGATGTCTTGCTTCTATACTAACTCAGTGGAGGGCGAACGCCTTCAAGATTACACTATGTGGCCATGAGACAATAGTAAAAATGAAAGTTAGACACTGTCAGTGTCGGTGCCTTTATACAATGCGACAGGCGCATGAGGAAAAAACTGTGTCGGCATCAATTGCTCAGCTGCGAATAAGAATTAAATTATTTACATTGTTGATGCATATCATTGTACGCGCACTGTGTTTCTGTGTGTGTGTGTGTGTGTGTGTGTGTGTGTCGGGGTGTGTGTGTCTGTGTGTGTGTGTATNCAATGCGACAGGCGCATGAGGAAAAAACTGTGTCGGCATCAATTGCTCAGCTGCGAATAAGAATTAAATTATTTACATTGTTGATGCATATCATTGTACGCGCACTGTGTTTCTGTGTGTGTGTGTGTGTGTGTGTGTGTGTGTGTGTGTGTCGGGGTGTGTGTGTCTGTGTGTGTGTGTATGTGTGTGTGTTGGTGTGTGTTTGCGTGTGTTGTTTGCGTATGTTGTGTGTATGTATGTATGTATGTGTGTGAGCGTGTGTGTCGGCTTGTGAGTTGTAGGTGTGGATATGTCGGTGTGCTTGCGTCGTCTGTGCATGTGTATATGTGTTTATATGTGTGCAGGTGTGTGTGCCTGCCATTCTGGGTCGAATTATACAATCATACACAATCTCACCTCCATGGTGGGATTCGTGAGTTTATGTTAACGTGTGTTGAGCGATCAATTCTCCAAGAATATAGTCACGAGTTTTCATGTGTGACAGCATTACTATCATCTAAAAAGGAAACGGCATTTCATGCTAAAAGGGCACGGCACCGTTCATGTAAAACAAGACGAAGAAATTTTAAGGTAGTCTTAGAGGCGGTGGACCCATTGGCTTCTTTGCAACATACAAACTATAGCCGACCACAGATTAAAGGGAACCGCGAGAGTAGTGAAAAAAATTGCTGGGAGCGTGATTAAGCAGTAGAGCTGACAAGATAAAAGAAAATTCGAGTTCACATTACAGTAATTTTGATTTGACTCATTCTATATTAAAATGATAAATGTATTCGACTAAGAACAATTTCAATTGAGGTAGATTTTGAGCAGATACGATGTGTTCATAGTAATGAAATGATTGGCCTCACAAAGTGCCTTCTTCCATCTGCCCATATGTGTATTTCAATGGAGATTTTTCCGTAAATAGATCTGCTAAATTTGCTAAAACTTCTTTTTAAGGTGGCACGACAGCACGTACATTTCGTGCTGGTGTGCGTGACCATCGGCGAGTGCGCAACAGCGTTCGTAGTCCCAGCTATCGTTGCAATCGCCTGCCCTCATAATACGATACAAGAGGTGAGCCATAAGTGTGAGTAATAGACAAACAAGGTAAGCTTATGCGAATGTTTCTATTTTGGAAGATTCATTTAAGGATGTGTAATAGCAAAATCATAGAGTCACATTATGACGACATATTTACATCTCATTTGCGCCCAATTATATTTAACTATAGGCCTTCATACCAAGTGCACTTGGGAAACTAGAATTTCGAATTGAATGCAGTAACGCTCATTAGGTAAGGAAAAGGAACATATGTCGTCTCTATAAGTTTCTTGTGGCTTTTTGCTCTGAACCTTGAGTTGTCAATTCCCATTCATAATGGTTGTCGATGTTGCGTATGGACAACGCAAATTACAAACAAGAAGCATTCAGATTTACGATTCTATACACACCAATAAGCACAAGTGTCATCATATATTACTAATATTAAGTATTCAGTGGTCGACTCTCTTTCTTCGTACAAGCGTATTCCTCGTTATAAGCACCATTCCATATATGTTTCTGGCCACCAGCGAACCAGCGCCATGGACGAAATCAACACCGTCTTCGACGTCAGACATGATTCGAACTTCTCAGCCCCATAATGCGATAGCGAAGTAGAGAGCAGCAATCTTCCCTTCCGATAGCACCGAAACCGAACACAATCGGGACAAGAACGTGGATGTCGCCTGAGAAAAGTGAAGTCGATGCAGACGTCAGTCCCGTCAGTTCTTCCCTACAGTGCCTACTAAGCGAATAGTTGAATGAAATCGCTGAGAAACCTTTGTATTTACGAAAGCCTCCACGCTACTATCACTCCTAATTTCCAATTTAGTATCAAATTGTTGTGGTATGCAATTCGTTGTGGTCTTTGGTTATTCTAATTGGTGAGAGACTTATTTTCTAAATTATCAATTATTCGCCGAAGCTTCACTGGTGCAAAATAAACCGTTTTAACTTCGAGTGAGGTAATTATTGATTCATAACGAACGTCCATACATATTTTAATCCGCAGAGAAAAAGCAAGGAAATTCTCATTTCCTCAATAGCCAATTCCCATTAAACCTCGACAAGAATAACCGATATAGGTGTAGATTGTTGAGCTAACACGAGGATGGTTCCCTTATATTGATTTCAATCCGAAAGTGACCCTAACTAATTCACCCTCCCAGCTTTACATCAATAGATCTCTGCTCGTAGTGAACTACAACGCCCCAAGTGATAAAATTTGAAGTGTCCCACAGATTTACTACTGACCACAGTGGTTTTTCAACAACGGACAACAATTTCACGATAATCTTTAGGGAGTCGAGAACTCCAGACCTACAGACAAACATCGCTCTTGTCTTAAGAGTATATGTAATACCCATAAAAAAAAACTATCCCGATTTGGAACCTTTCACAATTTAAATCATGGAAAAAATTTAAAAAATAAATTCGAATTTTTGAAACTTTTAATGGCAGCCGCAATCATCAGTGATGGGTCGACGAGCACCATCGTACCCTGTTAGAAGAAATTTTCCATGAGAATTGAATTCGGTCAAGACGCACACTGCTACGCAATTCTCCATTAGCTTGAGTGGAGGCATGTGTCCAGTCAGATTGTAACCGGACAACAAAACTCCTCTCTGTAGTTCATTTTTGGTTTTTTACAATTTACTCCAAATGCTTCAAAAGTTTTGCGCGGTGATGTTTTAGATTCCGATGCGAAGACAGTGATTTTTCTTTCAAAGTCTCCGTTAAGTCCCTGACCAATCTGAGTCCTACACGCGGCCAGGAAGGTGCTTGATTTAACTTTAAGTTTACAAATAAGGTGCTCCTATTATATGGGCGTAAGTGGTTTACCTCTTTCGGCTATTTATTCGCCTCCATAAACCTTACAAGAGATCAGATAAACAGTACCCGAACTCATGCAATCGCGCTCCTTACCGTTAGATAAAATCATGCAATTTTGTTTTAAACACAAACAGTTAACGTTGTTAACTATAGTTACATAGTTATAGTTATATAACTTAACCCTTTTATTTACTGCCTATTCTTTTTAACGGCAGGGTATTTTGCGAAATATAACTTCTATAATGCTGAGATATTTGCAAAACTGCGGACCGCGGGTGCCTGCGGTGGGGAACGAACGCGCTATAGTATGCGCTACAATGGCTAAACCAGCTACACCATGCGGCTCCCTCGTTTCGCCTGTCTCTCAGGCCAGCGACGGTGATGACCCGCGGCGGCGCGGCACTTAACCCTCATGCGACTACCACCGAAGTCTCGACATCGCAATCTACTTTTCCTAATCGCTATTTTATCTTTGGTTCTCTATATGTTCTGTACGCATTGTATCCTTCTGAATTGGTTACCATGGCTTCAAATAAGATCAAATGCAGTTCGTAATAGGGAAAAATGGCACAACGTTTTCTGCATAGACAAAAATCCGAGGAACGTTAAAATTAGTGCTGTCGGAAGGCAGCTATCTCGTTTAAAGTTCAGCTTTGTGAATCATCGGCTCTACTCTTATGGAATCGGCATTTCGTTTGCAAAGAGTCGAGCGACTCTACTAGAAGATGTGTGGTTGATATTTCTAATTCTCTTACTTTTTGCGCAATTTTCTGTAACTTCTTATGTGTTTTCCCAACCATTTCATGCAGAATGAATCCAAGAACTAGTTTTGCATGATTTTTCATCCAAGCAAGCCGTCGTTCATCACTAATCGATCATCCAGCCGATCCTGGTCGATCATTTGTTCGTTGACACGCCCTGCATTCTTTCAGAATCTTCTTCTACTTTTCAAAGAACGAAGAGGACAAACGATTAGACAGTTTTTACTGCTTCATAAAAAAAGAAACCTCCCATATCCAGATACCTTCATCGCATTTAGATTCGTTTACATAGCCAACGATGATATTAACAAAACCAATATAGGAAATAGCAAGAAAATTCGGTCAAAGAATATGATTTAAAGAAATTTTTTATCCACTTTCTTCATTGCTTTGCATGTCTGATGAGAAGAAGACAAAGGAACTCTCGCGTTACAGTTTTATTCGTTCTCTTTTATATGACAGATTGCATGCCGACTACATGCAAGGCTACGTGAAGCCAACCCAGACGGTGGATATAAGGGTTGACGGTGAGCTGGGCCAGAAGTGAAATCGTACTTTCCCTAACATGCAAGCAAATTTCCGAGATGGACGTGGTTGCATCAAGCAGCAAAGTCGAACGTCGCTTTCGGAAAATCTCGAGAAGCACCTGCTTGTACCTTCTTGCTAGAAACAAGAAAATTGAAGGGCTCATGCGAAAAGTGTAATAGATTTCGTGTTCGTCAAGCGTGAAAAGCTCTCTGCATTTCGTTTACACGAAGGAATGAATAGAAAATGGAGTGGTGCTTAATGCGATTACTAAATAGTTACTAAACGATTAATAGGTAGCAGATTGTAGAGATACTAGGTGATAACTTCCAAGAACGGCTTTCAAAAATCTAAGGCACTAATCAATAATTCGCCGACTTCTTGATATGCACACAAGAGGTTGTTATGTAATATTACTGTGTATCTATACTACAGGAAGTTTCAGCGGATTTCGTCGTCTTCAGAGCCTGGAAATGTCAAGTTAATCGCGTTGGAAAATACATTTAGTTAAAATAAATAAAAATAGTCAATACTTGGATACTTGGATACCCGGTCCTCACTGATTGTGCATGCCCAGCTTAATTTTCATCTTTAAGGAGATTTGCTGGTTTAGCCATTGTAGTTCCTTGGAATCTCGAGGTCAGCCTGGCCAAAGTCTGCCCCAAGTCGTCACCCCCATAGTCACTCACAGCCCTTGTAGATCAGAAGGAGATTTGCCAACATGCGACTTATTTGATACCAGAACTGAGGTGGTGGTGGTATCGGTAAAAATAATTAACAAATGATTTAATTCTTCTATCCATTTTATGTTTTATATTTACTTTGTTTTATTTTCATTTTATTTGCTTTGTTTATTTTACTTCATCCTTCAGTAATTTATTAACAAATAGCTGGAAGTAAATCTAGTTGAAATCGTAACCATGTGTATAACCGTCAATGAATAACGCAAAACAGCTGCTTACCCCGATGGTAGAGAGCGTGGTTGCATGAGTTCGGGTGCGGCTTATCTGATCTTTTGTGAAGTGTGCGGGTCAAATACATGGGCGAAACGGGAAGAACACTCTGCGTCCATATGAAAGCACACCTAATCGGTACATTTAAATTGAAATCAAATACTACACTAGGAGCGCGAAGGGCACAGAAAGTTGGAAGATTTTGAATTAGAATCCTCGCACAGGAATCTGAGACTCCAGCACGCAAAAATCCTCCTAGAATTCTGGATGGATTCCAGGAATCCAAAAATGACTAGAGAGGAGGAATGATTCGTTACCATACATGGTCTCGCGCAAAATATATTAATATTTAAAAATAGACCGATATTTTAACGTGGGAGAGGCAAATTGTCCATCTATTTGAACACTGTGCGATTAGTCACCACGTGGAGAGCTCGGTGGATGACTCATAAAAAACAGTGCATATGTGAAAAAGCTGATTTTTTCAATCCGATCGAAATTTAGGGTCCGTGATTTTCAGTTAAGCTTATGGAAGCATTTGACTGGCTAGAATGAAGTTAAGTTGACTTTTCCAGGCTCTGAAGAAGGCCGAATGAACCGAGGCGTTAACTCTTGTGAATAAATAATATATAATAGCTACGTCGTGTGTGCTAATCAAAAAAACAACGGATACCAGATAATAATTGTTATTGTGCGAAGCGTTCATGCTACCTGCAGTCGTTTGCGCGTTGTAAATTAACTTGGTTCATTTGTGCTAATTCTGAGTCCTTTAATCATCGCGTGCTGATTAGTTCGTGTGGCAGTTGTTTCCTTCCTTTCTGCCTGCCACGCAGGACTTTTTGTAAGTGCCGTAGCTCGTAATTCCAAACATTGGTAGTGGTTATTCTAATAGTAACGATATGAAAGGACCAAAACAATGCAAGCGACGAAGGATAACAGGGGTGAATAAGCGATGTCAGGATAATGAGCAACACATGACCCCTACGACAAGAGAGCAGCTCTGTCGTAGATGGTGGCGTAATATGATGCACAAGCGAATGCATAGAACACAGCAGTAATGGAATGGGAGACTGACATTAGAAGACACACGTGAGGTTATAATAACCTCGCAGTGAGGTAAACGTATTAGAAGGTAAACGTAATGTTATAATAGCTTTGGCTTACTAGCGATTATTAGGACCGCAAATTGCGTGGGATACAATAATGACTGTGTGGAAGTTGTGTTTAACAATTGGAACCTACTACATGAAGTAGAGCAGTAATACTGATATGATGATTGTAAGGATGACAACAGAAGAAATATGCCAATGCCTCTAAATCCGCTGCTTAATCCGCCGAGGATCCGCTTAAATCAATTCCAGGGTAGCTGGTATTTGGCGTAGGATCTGAGTTCCCCAGAAAGCACACACCGCCAGCCGCATCAGATAAGGAGGCTGCCTAATGAAGTTGGTTATACAGAAGATTGATTAGAAAGCGCTGCAATAGCTTGTGCAGATGAGGTGATTTAAACACGACACGACAAGCATTCGATCCAATGGCGTAGCGA